CACAGAACTGCTGGCGTTATGCTTGGGCGGAAGACTTTTTCTTTTACAGATGGGGCGGGTGGGCCTGACATTCGCGCGCAGGCAGGACCCCGCCCGCCGAGCCGCTTCCCCATCGCCCTCCACGCCAGCCTGCTCCGTCTCCAGACCTCCCAGCTGACGGGCGCAGGTCCGGGGCTCGCCAGCTGACAGGCGCAGGAGTTCAGCGCTGCAGCAGCCTCCCCTTCGCCCTCCGCACTGGCCAAAGCGTTGCCTGACGTTCCAGCTGACGGGCGCAGGTCCAGGGGTCGCCAGCTGACGGGCGCAGGAGGTAGGCGCTGCCGTGGCCTCCCAGCCGCTTGCTTCTTCGCCTGGAGCAGTTGCAAGGGCTTGCATGGTCGCCGGCGGCGGGGAGCACCCTGACCCCGAACAGCAATTCATCATTCAAGCCGATGCGAGTGACGTGGCTGTGGGTGCTGTCCTCTTACAAAAAAATTACCGGGAAGAATTACAACCCTGCGCTTACACTTCCTGGAAGCTAACCGACACAGAGAGGTGGGCCGTTTGGGAGGAGGCTTTTGCAGTGTGATGGGCATTACTAACATTGCACCACTTTTTGGAAGGAGGGGAGATACCTTTTGAAGTGTGGACTGATCACAAAAATTTGGAAGCTCTGAACCCCCCCCTGTAAATTATCCCCAAAACAAGTCCAGTGGGCTCAATACTTCAACCATTTCAATTTCACCTTAAAGTATCTTCCAGGGGGTAAGAATTTTTTAGCTGATGCTTTGTCTAGGATGCCTCAGTTCAAATGCCACCAAGAGGAAATCATTAATTCTATCATTCCTCTACCGCAATCTGCCTCGCAAATAACCACTAGAGCTCAATTGTGAAAGCAATCCACCGGTCCTGATGACCGCTTACTGAAAAGACTCAAAGAGCAATTAGAGACTGATACCTGGTTCAAGGACAATAAATCTCTATTAACCCTTCGGGGAGGGCTAGCCTGGAAGGGTTCTAAGCTGTACCTCCCAAGTGCCCTCAGGATCGAAGCCCTTCAGCGCAGTCATGATGCAAAGCAAGCCGGTCACTTTGGGTTCCTGAAAATGTTACATTTGGTACAAAGGCAGTTTTGGTGGCCAGGCATGAAAAAAGTCTTTGAGAGTTATGTGAAAAGTTGTGCCACCTGCGCTGCTATGAAGAAACATCCTGGAAAGCCTCCAGGGATCCTGTAGCAAGTAGATGACCCTTCCCAGCCTTGGGAAGAAATAGCTATGGATTTTATAGTGGACTTACCCGAGAGCAAGGGAAATACTGTAATATGGACTGTGATTGATCTATTTTCCAAACAAGCTCATTTCATCACTTGTTCAGGGCTCCCCTCTGCTCAGAAACTGACCAAGATGTTTTTGAAGCACATCTATCGGCTCCACAGAGCTCCTAAGCTGATTATTTCGGACAGGGGGGTTCAATTTACTGCGAAGTTCTGGAGGGAGTTCGTTAAGCTTACTGGGTCCACTCAGGGGCTTTCATCGGCTTTTCATCCGAGTACTAATGGGGCAGATGAACGTGCAAACTCAATGGTGGAGCAGTACCTCAGATGCTATATTAATTACCAGCAGACTAATTGGGCCGATCTGCCTTTCGCTGAAGTAGCTTATAATAAAACTGTGCACAGTAGCACTGGTCTTACACCGTTTAAGATAGCTACCGGGAGGGATTTTGTGCCTATGCCTGAGTACCCCCAGGAGCCACCTGCCTTTCAAACTCTGGATCAGTGGGTGACCTCCTTCCAAAGTGTTTGGGCGAATGTCAAAAAAGCCTTAACCCAAACCGCTAAGGTTTACAAGGAGCAGGCTGATAAGAAACATTCCCCTCAAAGACCATTTTATGTTGGGGAAAAGGTTTATCTTTCAACTAAGTATTTGAGATTGAGGTTACCCAGCAAAAAAATGCGGCCAAAGTTTCTGGGTCCTTTTCCTATCACCAAAATCATAAATCCTGTTACCATGGAGTTAAAGCTTCCACAGCTTTTGGGGAAAGTCCACCCTGTGTTCCATTGTAGTCTGTTGAAACCTGTGTCTGAATCCTCTTTAAGACCTATTCCAAAGAAGTCGCCGGGTCCAATAGTGGTAGAGGGGGAAACACATTATGAAATAAAACAAATTCTTGATTCTAGGTTGTACAAGGGGAAGTTGCAATACCTCGTTCAGTGGAAAGACTATCCACTGTCAGAAGCTATGTGGGTGAAATGTACAAATGTGAAAGCAGAAAGGTTAATAATTCTGCTTTATTCGTCTCTGTCTGTTGGAACCATGACACTCGTCTTGTTCGCTGCCATGGAGGGACATGGTGTGCGTGGTCCCCACAGTAGGGCAGTTGCCTCTCCGGGTTGACCTTTTTGCAGATCTCGCTTAATGTAAGATCCTGCCTCAACTAATCCTCCCAAGAAAGTAGAACTCTTGAAACAGGCATTGTTTCAAAAGGAACTTTTATTGAGAGACAGTGATAGCAAGAGAGCAAAGCGAGATCTAGCGTTTTCCCACGTGAAACGTTACATTAAAGCAGCCCATTCAAACCCCACCCCAACAGCCAAATGTCCAGTTTGATTTCAGCCAATTCTCAGGTGTGAAGTTGTTATGAGATCCAAGGTGATAAGCGCAGTTCCCAGGCACAGTCCTCCGGGTTTTGTTTCTTCGCATCCACCTCCCATCGGAGCAGAGTGGAGATAAGACAGATGGCCTATGGCACATTTCTTCTTCCTTTCACACCCAGAGGCATCAAAGGGGTAAAGAACAAAGTGGAGGAAATGTAGATCCCCTCCCTCCCACCAGAATAGCAAGACTCAAAGTAAACGAACAGCCTCCACCCTACTAACAGAATGGCAGACCCGAAGCATTCTAAGTAAACAGAGTTAAATGATGAGGGCCTGACAGGTTGTCTGCATAGCATCAGAACATACAGTCTGTAAGTTACACTATTACAGCACCACTGAACCACAAGCACAAATCGTAATTGAAAGGATCAGTACAGAAGCGAACGTAAGATTGCCCTGAACTGAATGAAGGGAGTAGAGTTTATAAGACAAAGAACCTTTTGGATGTTGCTAGAAAAGCCAAGAGCACTCTAGCGTATACGTGAGGAAATTTCTCAGAACTTCCATGTGCTTTCCCTGGAGAGGCTGCGTAGGTCTGAGATACCAGGCTGTGATAAAACGACGTCTGTTGGTTAGTGGGTGTTTCGAGATAACCTGTGCTCCCCCTACCTTCGGATTAGAGTTCTAGGAACCAAATGACATGATGCATTTCCTTGTCTGCTGCTTGGACACCAACTGGCAATCAAATTGTTGGCCTCATGTGGATTTATTTTAAAATCTGTTTTAAATTTGATTTTTGAGATTTTTCGCAGAACCCCTATGATGCTTTTGTGGAATCCTAGGGTTCCATGGAACACAGTTTGGGAACCGCTGAACTAGAGAAAACTATCTCCATTTAACAGGAAGTCATTTGGGTTGTCTTAGTTTATCAATTTATTGTGCACATTTTAGTTTTCATTATATATAATTATGTGTTAACTTCTAGGAATCCCTGGATATTACAACAGCAATATGTACATGTGATAAACAAGTGAGAAATAAATGCATATACAGGTAGTCCTCGACTTACAACAGTTCATTTAGTGACCGTTTGAAGTTACAACGGCACTGAAAAAAGTGACATGACAATTTTTCACACTATGACCATTGCAGCATCCCCATGGTCACGTGATTTACATTCAGATGCTTGACAATTGACTCACATTTATGATGGTTGCAGTGTCCCAGTGTCATGTGATCTCCTTTTGCAACCTTCTGACAAGCAAAGTCAATGGGGAAACCAGATTCACTTAACAACCACGTTACTAATTTAAGAACTGCACTGATTCGCTTAACAAAAGTGGCGAGAAAAGTCGTAAAATGGGGCAAAACTCACTTAACAAATTTCTCACATAACAACATAAATTTTGAGCTCAATTGTGGTCATAAGTTGAGGACTACCTGTATGATTTAATTCCATATCTATGTCCATTTTTGTAAACTGAGTCCATTGCCAATATTTTCAGGATTTGTCTAATTTCCTTGGAAACTATTAGCCATAGAAAGAAGCAAAAACCTAGCAGGATACTGAAGCCTAAACACAGTACATTCTGCAATTAAAGTGACATTGATAATGCTGGAAAGCTGCCTTGTAAAACAATTAAATAGATCAAAATGAAAAGCGCAACTTTAGGCTTCTAAATCCAAATTCCATATTTGACAAAATAACTGTAGACTCTACATAACCCTGACAGCTTCCTTCTCATTTCAGTCGAGCTGTTTACTTTCCTAGGTTTCTTCCCTAAGCACTACAGCAGGGGTGGGCAAGCTTTTGGGCCATATTTTTTTCTCGTACACATATATTTCTGCCTCTAAGGGGCACAGGGTTTGTTTCCCTTTGATCAGCAAAGGCACTGGAAGTACATAGGAATTTTCAGCCCACATTCTTGTAGGTAGGCTAAGATGGCTTGGGGGAGTGTTAAAGAATATATGCATTTTTACCTATTATTTGATGGGGAAAAAGCTAAAAACGGAATGACTGAAAATTCTGCGATTGAATTTTAGTGGGGCAAACTTGGACCCACAAGTTGGAAGCTGGGGTGCCTCATGCAACCCATGGGTCACAGTTTGCTTCTTCCGGTGTTTTAGGTTGGAGAGCTGACCTCTTTTAATCTTGCTTCCCATCAGCCCAGGATGAGGTGCTCAGGTTGTGACACACTGTATCATTCACACATTTCATTCACTGTTAACAGAAATTACATTTGATAGAGAATTTACTGGGAACCTTTCTTTGGGAAATGGCTGTGTGACCGAGCTTGCACTCTCCCCATCACCTCACCATCTGGAAACAGAACTGAGAAATTTGGGAAGGCACTCTCACTCAGTCCTACACCCTCACTCTACATAAAAGTTGCTTTTCTCATTTGCTCTGCATACTTCAGAGTCTGACCTTTAGAGCATTGATGACAGTTTCAATGTGGGTTTTGACAGCTTCATGTGAGAATTCAGAGCTGGCTAGGGTACACATGCTCTCCAGGGCTAGGTATCTTAGGTTGGTCTCTCGATGCTGCAGGAACTGGCCTAGTTGATTGCATGCACGCACCAGCAGGTTGGGTTCACTGCAGAACAAGAAGTCAGGGTTAATTCCAGAGTAGGCACAGCAGGGAGTACTCTGCATGTAGCTCAGCCTGTCAGTCTCCCAGTGTGCCAGCAATCCACCTGATTCTAACCTCATTCTATAAAACCGCTCTGTTCTTTTTATTTGATTTTCATGGTTCTCTTTTGTTTCACTGGCTCTGCCTATACCTTCTAATGGCTGACACTTAACAGAAACTCTTGGAAGTCACACAAGGGTTTTTCCCTCAGAGGTTTGGTTCAATTAAAACAGACATGTCAAACTCGTGATGTCATGTGACATCGCGCGACGTATCGGAGCTTTTTCTCCATTGCCGGCAATGGGGTGGGCGCAGTTTCCTGGTGACGCCTCCGGCCCGCGAGCCGGCAGTTTGACACCCCTGAATTAAAACAATACTGAAGAACTTTGGGTCTGTGGGCCAAGGAGAGCCTATATTATTTCCATTTAACCTACTGATTTCTAAGCCAGATCTCAAATTGATCAGAACCTTTCACCTGTTTCCTTGTAACAATCAGGTTAAAAACTCAGTTGAAACCAAATTACTTTTATAAAAAAGGTCTTCTAAGCTGAGGAGCATTTGGGAGGGTTCTTTTGGCTAACTTTCCACTCCTCAAATGTTGCAAACACATGTATCTTTCCCCCTACCATCCCACTGCAACTTGGCTTTTAAAAAGTCTCCAATAGTATTAATGTTGTATCAACAGTATCAATGGAGGCATTCAAAAAGTTAGCTGTGAAACAAAATGAGCATTTTCAAGAAGAAGCAGAATGTTATGGAGAACAGGGTGTGAATGCAGCTCTGGAAGTGCATGGAGGAGAGTACATCTCCAAGAGAATGGCATTGCCAATGTGGGTGCCCTTGAAATGGAATGCATTCCCCAGCTCCAATCTAATAGACTTTTAGAACAAAAAACCCAACCAAATGTAGATGCTTGCCTATCATAGTGGATGATGAGACTGATGGCTTCAAAAAGGATAGCGTTCTTGGCATTGGAGTGCTGGACCTTCTTGGACTTGGGAGGTTCCTGAGCCTTGTTGAGGATAGTCTCCAAGCATTCGACCAGGCGTCCTTTCACTGATGCATCTTCTGCAAAGAAAACAAAATACTGAGCCAAAGAGCAGCATCTGGGGGGGGGGGGGGATGCCAGTTACTTTAACAAGCTGGAATCCTAGTCCCAATCAGCCATTCATCAGTTGTAGCACAAAACAGTTGACACTCCACCCATGCAAGTATCTATATTGAATTCCAGTTTCTCACACATTTAAAACTATCCATTCTCTGTTGTTCTGAAAGTCTCCATATGGAAATGCAACCAAAGTTCAATGTGTTTGGGATGCTACAAAATAATAGGCATTATCAGGATCGCCTCCGCCAATGATCAAATGCAGAGTGAGAGGAAAATGGGAAGGGCATGAGCACAATGTTTGTGCAGGCTCATTATTAGAGCAGGAAAAAAGGACATCCCTAAAAAGACCTAGAAAAAAGAAGAGAAGCTAACTTTTTTATTAAATTCATATCCCATCTATTTGCCAAAAATGCATTCAAAACAGTCAATGATCCTGAATTATAAATGAAAACTGCTGTAGTGATGAAAAGGTAAAACAAGGTAAAACATATTAATAATAAAAGGAAGCATTGCTTCTATGCCTTTCACTAAGGAGAGGACTGCAAATCAGCAAGACGTTCAGCACCAGGAAGTTGGCATATTCCAGTACTATCTTTGTTTTCACTGAGCAGAAGACCCCATTTTTGTTACCTGGGGGGGGGTAACACTGTAGCAGCCGCAGAAGCTTGACTGAGAGCCAAGGGGCTGACACAAAGTAATAGGTGTAGTCCTGGAGGTCTGTGGAGGCTGAAGACACAATCTGAAAGGAGAGGATACAAGCAGGGCAGCCCAGAGAGCCAGTCAGAAATGTCCACATTTCGTGTATCAGAACAACCATATTCCCCAAGAATCTCTATGCCATTGTCACAAAAGTTCATGGTTCGCAACTCCCTGAGTAAAATTAGCTATGCCACAAGACTTGGGGTCAAACTGTGGGAAGATAAATGGCCCTTATACTACTACTCCCAATTGAAGGCCCCAACTTCCTAAGCTACTAATATGGTCAGAAAAGAAGACAGGTGTGTTATACAGTAAAAGAATAAAGAACTGTGTGCTAGCTATATCATGTCAGGAAGAAGTTGGAGAATGCCAAACTAAATCTGCCACTAGCTATATGCACTGTTGCTCTATCAGTATACTGTATTTTATCTAAATAAATACATTGTATACTGTAGCATGTGAACAATTTGCACACTCTTAATAAACGAGCAGGAGGGGATGGGGGAAGCTATCAGCTGAGAAGTTTCCACTGAAGGTAAATAGCTTGTGGGAGAAGCTCCAGAATTTGTTTAGGAAAACCCTCGTCCACATTCTGTAGGCAACTGACCAAGTTCTGTCAATCTGCTGCTCTGCTTTCAAGTAGATACTTGTTCTAAAGCAGGCAAGTTCATACCTTTGCACAAGGGAAATGATTAAGACTCCATATCAAAGACCTCCTTTTGTCTCTCCACCATCCAATGACAGGAGGACAAAGCCATTTATCACAGCTGTGACTAGGATGCTGTCCTCTCTGTGATCCACCCAAGTCAGTCCTCAACCCTCATTTCCCTCTTTTGTGTGTATACACTCAACTTATGTATTCCACAATCCACTCCCAACAAATAAAATGCACAATGGGAAAAAAGTACATTCACTATATTTTCTTTGAAGATGCTGCAGCTTCATACAGAGATTCATTAATTAGTCACAATGGATGCCAAGACCATTACATTTTCCCAACAAACACAAACTTTACCATAAATGTAAAAAATTGTTGAAACAAAACATATGGCAGTGCAATAATACTAAGCAAAAGAATGGATTCTTGGCTCTCCTTTCCTCACTCACCCTGCTGAGCCTGGATACTGCCAGGGAGACACATGTCTTGAAGTCATCGGGATTCTTCTTGCAGAGGCAAGCAATGAGGCTAACAGCAGCTGTGACCACACCCTGTATTGTGAGGGGGTGTAGGGAGAAAGAGATGGAAAACTGAGACTTCTATAGGAGCTGCAACAAGCAGTCAATGGAGAAACTGGCAGTAAAATCACAGATTGTGGTCATGTGATGACTTGCTTAATGACCACAGGTGAATTGCTTTACTGCAAAGGAAGTGATGTCATACCTCCAATGGAGTGACATCATTTTCCCTTAGTGACTGTGTTGCTCTCACGGTTCCAATAGATGAGACCAATTAAAGCAGAACTCAGAGGCTTGAGTTTTCCTCTAAGAACATGTTTATTGGTCACAAAGTATTGGCATGGTCAAAACTGAAACCAAGACTAAAGTTCCCTCCAAAAAGTTACAGTATTACAAAGTTAAACTTCCCACCCCAGAAACTATGCAATCAACTATGTTTCCCAATAGAATGGTTTGGCGGGCTTTCCAACATTAGGCTCAACCCCCAGTCTAACAAACAGAAATGACCTTGGTTCCCACAGGACAGAGAAATGTCAAAGCATAAAACTCCCCATTCCTCCCCCCATTCCTGTGGCAACCGAAAACGAGCAAGATGGCTTCAGCCAGGTTTGTTGCAGAGTTGACAGTCGGAACCCCCCTAAAGAAAAAACAGATCCTGTAGAAAAACAAAAGGTGAAGTTAGGAATCTCCCCGGGGTTTTTGAGGATGTTTATTGTAAAACTGTTTTATCAACCGGTCCACTTTGACATCTGTACTTTTCACCCAAGTGGCCTCTGACAAAGAATATCCCTTCCACTGCACTAGGTACTGTAATTTTCGTTTGTATAACCTAGAGTCAAGGATTCACTTAATTTCATAATGAGTTCCCACTCAACTAAAAGAGGACCAGGTGCCTTCTTAGGGATTGGTCACAATGACGACTCTCTAAGAGGCTTTAGTAAACTGCAATGGAGCACAGGGTGAATTTTCCCCAGTAAGCGAGGAAGTTTTAACTCAACTGTCACATGATTTATGATTCTAACTATAGGAAAAGGACCAAGAAATTTCGATCCCAATTTCTTACTAGGCAGTTTGAGTCTTAAATACTTAGTTGAAAGATAGACCTTTCCCCCCACCCAAAACAGTCTCTCAGGGGACTGCTTCGTATCGGCTTGTTCCTTGTACGTTTTTGCAGCTTGCATTAGAGCTTTTTTTACATTAGTCCAAACAGCCTGCCATGATGTCACCCATTGATCTAAGGTTTGTGAGGCAGGTTGTTCTTGGGGGTATTCAGGCATAGGAACGAACTCTCAGCCAGTGGCTATTTTTTTTTCCAGACTTGGACATTTTATTTATTTATTTATTTTTTCCCTTTTTCTCTTTACAAACAAACAAAATACACAGTACATTTTTTCTTTTTTCTTAACAATACTATGTCCTACATCTCTTACATTTATTTACATTTATTTACATTACTTCTCATACTTTTTTATTCCTCAATTCTAACCAGTTATAGTACATGTCCCATATCTCATAGAATTCTGTAGCTTCTTTGTCTTTTAGTTCTAAGGTAAGTTTGTTCTTCAGTCTAATATCTTACATATAATCATTGCATTTGTTGGTATGTTCTCTCTTTTCCAACATTGCACATATGCAATGCGTGCTGCAGTTATAATATGTATAATGATGTATCGGAGTCGTTTCTCGATTTTTGGGTTGATTATGCCTAATAAAAATATTTCGGGTTTGAGTTCAATTAGTTGTTTTGTTATTTCCTGTAACCATCTCCTAATCTGCTCCCAATAAGTCTTTGCTTTGGGGCATTGCCACCACATATGATAAAATGTTCCTTCTTTGTTTTTACATTTCCAACATTCCGGATTCATATTTTTGTATATTTTAGCCAATCTCGCCAGTGCTAAATGCCATCTGTAGAACATTTTATATTGGTTTTCTTTGTATGCAGTTGACATTAATTTGTAATTTCTGTTCCATATTCTTTCCCATTCCTCTAATCCTATATTTCTGCCTATGTTTCGGGCCCATGCTATCATTGGGTCCTTTACTATTTCTTCTTCCAATTCAATTTCTAATAGCAGTTTATAGGTTTTTGTTAAAAAAAATTCTCCCTTGTCAATATTTTATCCAATTGTTGTGATGTCCGATTTATCCCATACTCTTCTATATCTTTATTATATTTTGATTTTATCTGTGTATATGGCCACCAAACAATAGTTATTCCCTGTTCTTTTAATTCATCTCTTGATCTTAGCTTCCCTTGGTTGTCTAATAGTTCTTTATACCTTATCATCTTTGTTTTGTCTAATGTGTTTGGGTGAATCATCGCCTCCATTGGTGAGATCCAAATTGGAATTTTCGTGTAGTATTTTTTTTTAACTTTTTCCCATATCCAAATTAATGCATCCCTTATCTGATATCAGAAGAAATATGTGTGAGTTTTCTTATCTTTCGCCCATAGAAAAGCATGCCATCCAGCCTGTAGATCATGACCTTCAATTGTTAAGATCCTTTTATTTTCTAAATTTATCCAGTCACTGATCCAAAGCAATCCTGCTGCTTGGTAGATTTCCCATTTTGGGAGACCAAGGCCACCTCTACTTCTACTATCCTGTAATGCTTTAACATTTATTCCTGTTTTTTTACCTAACCATATAAATTTATTAATCATTTTATTTAATTCATCAAAAACAAATTTCCCCAATTTTGGAACTGTTTGAAAGAGGTATAATAATTTTGGTAAAACATTCATTTTAATTGCCAAAATCCTTCCTAACAATGATAATTGTAGTTTCCCCCAAATCTCTAAATCTTTTTGTATTTGTAGTATCAATTTTTTATAATTATCTTCTTTTATTGAGGAACATCTTATGGCGAGCCAAATTCCTAAATATTTAATCTTTTTTACAATTTGCAACCCCAAATTTTCTTCTAATCCCCTTTTTTGTTTTTCAGTTAAATTTTTAACTAATATTTTAGTCTTTTCTTTATTTATTTTTAGTCCCGCCACCATTCCATATTTTTCTATTTCATTCATTAAAATATTACCTCTTTCTAATGGTTCCTCTATAAAGAACACCAGGTCGTCTGCAAATGCCTGTATCTTGTATTCTTTCTGTTTTAACCTTTAATCCTTTTATCTCTTTGTTATTTCTGATTTGAATTAGTAGCACTTCTAATGTTAGAATAAAAAGTAGAGGTGACATTGGACATCCCTGTCTTACTCCTTTGTTGATTTGTATCTTCTCTGTATTTTCCCCATTTATTATTACTCTAGCCTTTTGTGTTCTATATATTGACTTTATCATTTGTTCAAACCTCTCCCCAAATTTCATGTTTTCTATTTGTTGGAACATAAATTGCCAGTTAGGGTTGTCAAATGCCTTTTGAGCATCTAAAAATACTAATGCAGCCTGTTTTTCGGGGTGTGCTTCGTAATATTCCAGGACATTTAGCACAGTTCTCGTATTGTTCCTAATTTGTCTGGTAGGTAGAAAGCCGTTTTGATCCGAATATATTGTTTGATTTAATATTATTTTTAATCGTTCCGCCATTATTGTAGTAAAAATTTTATAGTCCGAATTCAACAGCGAGATTGGTCTATAATTTTTTATTTGTTTAGGATCCGTATCTTCTTTTGAAATAAGAGTTATGTTGGCTTCTGTCCAGGAGTTTGGTAATTTGGCTCTCTCCAATACACCATTATATACATCTAATAATATCATTTCCAGGTCTTCATACAAAGTCTTATACACTTCCCCAGGTAGACCATCTGGCCCCGGAGCTTTATTATTTTTTTGCTTTTGTACTGCCATTCTTAGTTCCATTGCTGTTATTTTTTTATTCAATAATTCTCTTTGTCCTTCTTTTAATTCCGGGAGACCATTGGCCTTTAAATATTGTTTTATATTCTCCTCCTCTGTTTCCTCTTTTTTATATAGAGACTCAAAGTAATTCTGAATTATTTTTTTCTTTTCATCTATTTTATATTGCACCTCTCCATTTTTGTCCTGTAGTTCCTGAATAAATCTTTTTTCCTTTTCTTTTTTTAATTTATAGGCAAGCCACCTCCCAGGTTTGTTTGCATGTTCGAAAAAAATTTGTTTGGTTGTTTTCAGTTCTCTTGCCAATTCCTCTTGTTCTACTATATTCATGTTTGGCCAGAGTCATTTCCTCTTTAATCCTTTCATCTTGTGGCTCCCGCTGTAATTTGGAATCTAATTTTTTAATCTCTTCCAAAAATATATTTTGTGTCTGCCTTTTCACCTTATTTTTCCTAGCTGTATATGCTATTGCTATACCTCTGAGATATGCTTTGGCGGTGTCCCATATAATTTGTAGTGATGTTTGTTGTTTAGTGTTCTCTTTAAAAAATAATTCCATCTCTTTTTTAGTCCTTGCAGTAAATTCTCTTTCCTTTAAGATTTGGGTATTAAGTGTCCACCTTCTCTTTATTTTTTTCTGACCTGTCCACACTATCTTCAGGGGGTTATGATCTGCCCATATGTTTGGCATTATTTCTATTGTCTCCACTTCTTGCCCTATTTCCCCATTCATCCATGCCATATCCAACCTAGACCACGATTTGTGTGGATTTGAAAAAAAGGTATATTCCTTTTTCATACGATTCTGTTTCCTCCATGGGTCGAATAAGTTGAATTCCTGCGCCATCTCAAAAAATGTTTTTGGTAGTGTTTTTCGCTTCTTTTTATTTTTCATATTGCTAATACAGTATAGTCCATTTTTACATCCACTATTGCATTATAATCTCCTATTATACAAATATTTCTTTGTCCAATTTCAATAAGTTTTTCATGCAGAGCTTTATAAAATTCTTTTTGGTTTTCATTTGGAGCATAAATTGTCACCAGTATCCATGATTTCTGTTCCATTTGTAATTCTAGTATTAATACCCTTCCCTCTGTATCTTGATATTTTAAATTGGCTCTAATTCCTTTTCTGATATAGACTGCTATTCCTCTCTGTTTTTGTTCCATTAGTGATGTATATAATTCTCCTAGTTTCGGAAATTCCAA